GGTCTACTTGCCTTCAAATCGGGCATCACAGCTGACCCATCCAACAAGCTCAGCTCATGGAAACCGGGTACGGACTGCTGCGCGTGGGCGGGCATAAACTGCTTAAACAACAACCGGGTCACAAGCCTCCGTCTCGGGGGTCAACCCGACCAACCCAACACCTTCTTATCGGGTAAAATCTCACCCTCCCTCTCAAAACTCAAGTTCTTAGACGGCATATATCTCCAAAACCTCAACCTCTCGGGTCCATTCCCGGATCTCCTATTCGGGCTGCCCAACCTCCTATTCGTCTACATCGAACACACCAGGCTCTCGGGTCGGATACCCGATAAGATCGGCAACTTGACCCAGCTCTTTTCACTCAGTTTTTATTACAACCTGTTCACCGGTCCAATCCCGAGCTCAATCTCCAAGTTGACTCGGTTGTCGCAGCTCAACCTGGGCGGCAACCTCTTAACCGGGTCGATACCGTACGGCATTAAAAACCTCAATAGCCTCAACCTGTTCAATCTCGAGCGAAACGGTTTGTCGGGTCTCATACCCGATTTCTTCAGCTCATTTTCGGAGCTCCGAATTCTCAGGCTTTCCCGCAACAAATTTTCCGGGAAAATCCCAGCTTCAATTTCAGCTTTGGCGCCAAAACTGGCTTACCTTGAGCTCGGTCACAATGCCCTGACGGGTCAAATCCCAGATTTCCTTGGAAATTTCAAGGCCCTTGACACCCTTGATCTCTCATACAATGGCTTCTCGGGAATTGTGCCCCAGAGATTTGTGAATTTGACCAAGATTTTCAACCTTGATCTTTCTCATAATTATCTCACCGACCCATTTCCACAATTGTACGTGAAGGGCATCGAGTCCCTCGATTTGTCTTACAACAGCTTCCATTTGAACCAAATTCCCAAATGGGTTACTTCATCGCCAATCATTTACTCTCTGAAGCTTGCAAAGTGTGGGATTAAGTTGAAATTGGAGGACTGGAAGCCTGCAGAGACGTATTTCTATGATTTCATAGATTTATCCGAGAACGAAATTACGGGCAGTCCGATTGGGTTGCTTAACAAGACTGATTTCTTGGTGGGTTTTTCGGCTTCTGGAAATAAGTTGAAGTTCAATCTGGAGAGCTTGAGGATTGTGAAGACGTTGAAGCAATTGGACTTGTCCAGGAATTTGGTTTTTGGGAAAGTGCCCAGTGGAGTTTCAGGGCTT